ATGGCCTGCTTGGCCAGTCCAGACTGAAGCTGAACTCCAGGCATGGCTGGGGAGAGCCCCAGAGATAGAGGACAGAGGCAGAGCTGCCTCCCTTCAACCCTGGGATGCTGGAGAGAAAAGCAGGCTTGGGAGAAAAACTAAATCCACTTTTGGCTTGAAAAAAAGCTCCTGGTTTAAGTGGTGGAGTTTTCTGGCACTGACGTTGTAAGCAATCATTTTGTTTGTTTAATCTCGGCACTAATAGGAAACGTGTAAACAGAGCTGGGCAGTTACGGCAGCCTCTGTCAGTGAGGGCAAAACTGAGGGGTTTGGGATCAAATGGAGAGGTTTGAGGTCAAATGGAGAGGTTTGGGATCAAACAGGCTTTCCCCACATCCTGCCCCCTGCAGCAGCCTGCCCCATGCACCCACTGTGCTCACCCACCCTGGGAGCCGAGCGAGACGCTCGTGGCACGGGCACAGGACATCGCCCGGCTCTGCCCGATACCATCTCCTGAGGAGCTAAAAAAAGCAATACCATCGCTGCAAACTGCACCAGCTTCATTCTACCGAGGAAAAGACAGAAATGCCACTCACCTTCCCGTGCCTGCCGTGCCCCAGGGGGGGCACAGCCATGCTAGAGAGCACGAGCAGCGAGCGCCCGGCTTTTATTGCCCACCGAGCTCCTCAGCCATCCCAGCAGCTCCTCGTTTAACTTCCACATGTTTTCGGAGGGCTGGAATCCTGCCGGCAACTGCAGCCCAGTCCGGTGGCTGCAGAACAGGAAATCCTGTATTTTGTTTCTCTTCTCCCACAAAACGTGTGCAGCTAATGACGTTAAAGCCGCTGGGAAGGCGATGACGTCGTTTGGTCCAAGTGCCGTGGGATGGAGACCATGGATTTCTGTCCCTCGTTCAGCACAGGAGTTGTGGGAGGTGATGGTGCTCTTCCCTCGAGCTGCTCCTGCTCCTCTCCACGGGCACTTGCCATTTGCCTGCTAAAAGCTATAAAATACAGAAGCACCAACCTTCCAATAAGGGCTCGCTGAAGGAAAACTGAACTCTCTGCCAGTGTAAGTTACTGGAAGGGAGTAATTTTCCTTCATTTTCTTGGAAGCTTGGTTAGCCTCAGACTATCAAGGCTACAGGCTAAAGGGTTTGGACTTTATTCCTGAAATAATAGTATGGTTTAAGGTGGAGATTTTCCCAAAATATCATTGTATAAAAAAACCTCATAATGTGCATCATTCCCAATTTTTTTTCTTTTTACCTCCTTTAATTCCTTGCCTTTCTATATGCATATATATATATATATATATATATATATAAATTTTAGTTCTTTTACTGCCTGCTGAGCATGACCACCTTTCTGCATTGCTGAGCACTGCAGGCATATACATACTGTGGTGTAACTTCTGAGGTGCCTCATTTCCAGCTGAACAGTTTTACCTGATGTCCAGGGTCACACCTCACAGCCCAAAGCTCTATGGATTATCTGGCTGTTGGCATCTTTCCTTTTCTAGTTCTAGGTAAAGTATAAATAGAACCATTCTTGCTCTATTCATCAATTTTCTGTAACTGGTTCTCTGACCCCTCAAATTTAACAGGAACAGAGCTGTGGAAGAGAAATGAAAGAAGGAACCTTTAGTTCCCAGTTCAGGGTCTGGGATTGAGGATGCACCAGAATCCATCAGCTCTGCCACCCACCCAGCTGCCAGGTTTCTCTCTGCAAGGAAATCATGGAATCCTGGAATGCTTTGGATTGGGACTTTAAGGACCATCTCATTCCCACCCCTTGCCATGGGCAGGGACAGCTTCCACTAGCCCAGGTTGCTCCAAGCCCCGTCCAACCTGGCCTTGGCCACTTCCAGGGATGGGGCAGCCACAGCTTCTCTGGGCAACCTGAGCCCCACACTGGTCATCTCCACTGACAGCAAAGGGATCTGGAAGATGCAAGAAGTGTTTATCATTCCAGGTTTTCCTCCTGGGCATCTTTTGCAGTAGCTGATGCTGATCCCTGGAAGAAGGAGCAGAGCTGGTGTACTTGTGAAGCATTCCCAGATCCCAGCAGGGAGGCTGGCACTGTGCCCGGCCCTCCCCAGCGGTCAGAGGTTAATCCCAAAGCAAAGTGGCTGTTTTATCAGGATATCCTGCCTGGGACATCCTACTTCTGTGTCCCTAGCAGCTCATCCAGCCATCCCTGAGCCCTATTTTTAGCTGGTTGTTTACAGCCGGGGAAGGAGAGGTCGGGGGATGTCGGACCACAGCGAGGGGTTTGTAACCATGTCGAGTCCTTCCTCTGCTTCTTGGATTTTTGGAGAACTTTTGGAGAAGATCACAATGTTCCTGGCCATGAAATGCTGATAGATTGACATCAAGCCTCCTCCTTCAACACACACCACTCAACCTCTCTGTTCTTCTTTCAACTGAGAGCACGTTTTTGGGTAGCGTTTGTATTTCTGGCTCATTACTGACATCAACGTGCATTTTACACTTGGCAATGTCCTCCTTTCAAAGGCAGAAGGCACAAAGGAATTTTTAAATAACTGGGAGACTTTCCCTAAGGCCTCCAGATGAAGGTTGTCTCTGCCTGTAGCCTGGTATCCTGTGGGCAGGAGGCCAAATGCAGATGATGAGCACCTCTCAAGCACTCAGCACTGAGAATATCTGACAGGATGCACCTGAAGGATGTATGAAAAACAAGGGGAGGAGGAGGGTTTGTTCACACAAAGCAGCTCACCCTTGTGCACACTTGCTGTGGGTTGAGCTGAGCCATTGGCATGTGACCCATGGGGCTGGTGAGTCCCCCTCAGCCCTGCACAGTTCTCTCTACAGGGGCAGCGTTTTGGGGAAGCTTGGGTTTATTTTTTGCAGCAAATAATTGTCAATCACTCCCTTAGTTTTTGGGCTAAGCCCTTGTCTAATCCACAAACCAGCATTTTTGGTTAAAATGCACCAGTCATCCCCAAAATCTTTTCAATGAAATGAAGCAGTTTTGTATTTTGGGGTTGTTGAGCTGTTATCCTGCATTTACAGCATATTTTGGTTTTTCTCTGTGCAGAGAGGGAGTAATTTCATTTAAGGGAAGCAAATGAAGGTGGGGTGCTCACGAGATCCTGCAGCTCAGAACCTGAGTTTGCAGAAAGGCATTAAATCCCACAGGGCTTCTTCCCCAAAACATTTGCTGTTGTGCACAGGGGGGCTCTTTCAAGCAGGAGAGGAGATACCAGACCTCTGATAGTGGTTAAAATGGGGTAGCACCGCAGAAAACACATTTTCTTTTGCTAACAGGTGAATGGCTTGTGTTCTAGAGGAAAAGAACAGGTCATGCTGTGGTTTTGCCCAGGGTTGTGCCATGGGGTCATGCACTGTGTCCGTGCAGGTGGCTTGGAGACCTTACCATGTTTCCACCTTGAGCAGTTCCCTTCAGGATCAGTCTGGACACAAAGATCCCCCAGCACGACGAGCCCTTCAGATCCACCCTTCACATTCCTGGCACTGTGCTGTTCCCAACCTTTTGATCTGGTTAAATTCTGCCTTTCTGTGGCATCTCTGTTGAAACACTTTTTTTTTTGTGTCTGCCCAAGAAGGATGAAGATGCCTTTTTATAGCTGGTGAGTCTGGGCAGTGGGACCAGCACAAGAGATAATCCAGGAGCAACATCATGAAATTGTGTTTCCTCTTGTCAAAATAATAAACGTGTTTTCTGGTCACAGGAAATAGGGTGAATTACAGGAACTGGAACAGGGCATGTTGTACCTTTGAATGTTTGAGAGCACTGGCAGATAAACCAGCACCTGTAGCTCAGGTCCTGTGTCAGATCAAGCCCTGACCAGCCCTGAGGGCACCTGAAATATTGTTCTCAACAGAACTCTGGATTTGTCTGTTCTTCTCTTGAGACACACACTGAGGCCTTGGAGAACCTGAACTAACCTTTGGATTTCACATCTGGGTTTGTGGAGGCCACAATGATCATCTTTGCTTTCTTAGGTGCTTTCAGAAAACTCCAAGTTCTCCTTGACCTCTTTTTGCTTCGAGTTGTTGCTCTCTAGGCCAGTTCACCCTCATGACCATCCTGGCTGACTTTCTTTTGTGATTTAACCCCATCTGGCAGCTGAACAACACAGAGTTGTCTGGTCACCTGCATGTCACAGTGACATGACTCGAGTGGCTGGAACGGGGGAGCTTCTAAATTCAATGTGAGTGTGGTAGATTTAAATAAATAAATAAACAAACACTAGTGAGGGTGAAAACCTCTCTGTGAACAAGCAAGAAATCTATAAAAGTTGACGTGCTCCATCATTTGAACTCCTCGATCCAAGGAGGAGCTGATCCCACAGACTTTTCCAGATGCCAGTGATAACTATGAAATGCAGCTCGTGTTTGCAAAACTGTGTTTATTTTTTAAAGCATCAGTTCCTGGGAAGAAAAACATAGAACAAGCTACACAGTTCCCGTAACGGTGCCTTTGACTTGTTTTCACCTGATCAAGGGAGGATTGTATGAGAAAGAAATGACAGGAAACAGCTCCCAGCCATGTGCCAGCCAAGCAAGGTCTATAAAAACCCTCAAAACAACCTTCAAAACTAAAGTCTCCTTCACTGACAACATCATACAGAGTGTAGCTTATGAGAAACTGCTGAATTGAGAACAATTTTATTCTGGTTAACTCTGTACCTGAGCATCAACCCCTTTGTGAAGGGACTACTTGCAGTGTGTAAACAATTCTGAGTGTCACTGGCATCCCAAATTGCCGGTTACATCACAGAAAACATTTCCATCAACCCCAGTGGAGGATGCAGTTCATGCTACTGCAGCCCACAGTCATCTTCTCACACGTGGGAGGAGAACTATGGGAGCTTATTGTGCTTAGTCAGTGTGCCACCACCTTTTAGAGCAACTCCAGTGAAATGGTTGTTTAAACCTGGCTACTGTTTGCTTTCCCCCATTTGTTTTGTAAAACAGAGAATTGGGGAAAACATAACATACAGAAAATATTTGGCCGAGTTCAAATGTAACTCAGTGGAATTGAATGGTAAGATTTAAAATACACTTAGCAAGTGTTTCTGGTCATTCTGCTGGTTTTGTAGCAACATGTAAGATATTTTCTGTTGCAAGACTGCACATTGTACAAATTGTACACATTCTCTTGAAAATATACAGGCTTTCAAAGGCAACAGATTGGTGCCTGTGTTCAGCCAAATCAACTCCCAGGTATCACAAGGATACCCTGGAAGTTACACAGTGGGTAGACTTAGCTGAAGAGCTGTCACTAATTTAATGTAAGGGGTAAATGGCATCCTCCCTTGTCACTGCTTTGCACAGCTACATAAAAATGTAAACATTAGGATCATGAGAGGTGCTGGCAGAAAAAAACCACAATAATTTATGCACTTAGCCTGTGCTCTGTAAGTGGCATCACCTTGGCAAGGACCTCTTTTAAAAAGCTACATCGATTGAACTCGTTGAGCTGAGCTTTTATGGGGCAGGTTCACCTCAGGTACCTCTGGCCCAAGATGCCCCACAAAGAAGAGAGTGAGGACCTGAGTGGTACCACCACCATCAACAAATCCACCGGCACGAATGGCAGGACCACCGTGGTCCTGTCCCTCGGGGTCCAAAGGTGAAGAACATGTCCTGATGCCCCCCTTGCCAACAGGGGTAGCTTGGAGGGGAAGAAAGTCACTCGGAGCAAGGGAAGGTGCTGGAGGAGACTTGTCTTTCAGGGGGTCTTGCACCAGCTGTAGGTGCAAGTTATAGGATGTGTCAGCAATGAAGGAGCAAACAGAGGTGGGTGAGGAGGAAATGGAGGAGGGGAGTGGGAAGGTGAGTGTGGGAAAGTTGAAGCAGAGGTGGTGAGCAGTGGGATGCACACAAAGCCAGGAGTGGGCTGGAGCCTCCACCTGTCCACAGCCCCAGTTGTCTCTTATGATTACTGGCCATTTTTATGTTCTTGTGTGGTTGTCCCAGAGAAGACACTTCAGCAGATGTCAGTGTATGGATGTGGGATTGTCTTTGGCTTCATCCTAGAGCCATGGAGCTGGGAAAACAGAAGAAAAGCTCCTGGGACTTTTCCACCACTTCCTAGCAAAAGCTTTGTCTTTCCCTCCTGTATGTCTCCTAGTCCAGCCAGGTCGGGTGTGGGTGGCCCAGGGGTGGGGAGGGTCACACCAGCTGGGTCGCTCATCAGATCCCAACACACCGGTCATAGACAGAGTTTTATCTTCTGTGTATCAAAGATTTTCACTGCCACAAAACTCCCCTGCACTGGCAGGATCTTCCACAATGGAGTTGGTAATTGAGTATCCCAGAACAGTCCCAGATCTCCTATGAAATATCTGAGTTTTTTTCAGCTGGCTTTCCTGTCACTCCTTAACCGACGAGCCGCTCTCCTTGCTCATGAGCCGGCTCCTGATGGCCATGCTGCTGTGCCTGGATATCTGGTCCTGGAACTCTGAAGTCGTGAAGAAATAGATGATGGGATCCAGGCAGCAGTCCAGACTGGCGAGGCTTAAGCAGAAGGGTTGTGTGTAGAGCGTGATGGTGCTCAGGAAGCAGTCGGTGATGACCTTCTCTTTCACCAACATGTAGAAGAAGAAGTTGATGTGGTAGGGGGCAAAACACACGCAGAACACCACGGCACACATGGAAACCATCCGCTGGGCCTTGCGCCTCTCGCCGCTGTTCTCCTGCGGGATGTGGAAGCCCCGGAGGGAGTTCTTTGTTTTCCAGGTGCAGAACAAGATGATGACGAGCGGGCCCACGAAGCCGAAGAGCTCGGCCATGCCCGTCATCAGCACCGTGGCCACGCTGCTTCGGATGGGCCGCACCTGGAGGTCGGCGAAGCAGGTGTGGCTGTTGTTGGCCAGCCCGTAGCCCCTCATGATGGGGAAGGGCAGGCAGGCCACCCCCACGAAGAGCCAGACCACGGCGCTGATGGCCACGTCGTAGCGCCGCTTCCAGTCCTTGGCCCTGAAGGGCTGGTACAGGAAGAAGTAGCGCTGGATGCTGATGCAGGTGAGGAAGCAGATGCTGGCGTACA